CAAAAAAAAAAAAAAAAAAAAAGAAAAGAAAAATAACTAACAACTGGAGGGCTGGGGTCAAGCCCTGATATGTCTGTCTGTTGCAGCTCTGCTCTCTGTGCCAACCACTCAGGCAGAAAACAAAACTGCACATCGGGATTAAAAACTCCACATGTGTCCTGAGCTTGCCAGACCTGGAACAGCCTCTGGTGGCTGGACCTGTTCACCTCATAGGCACATGCTTACATGCAGTAGGGCTTCAATATAGCTCACAGGATGAATGAACCTAGTTTTCCAATGGTTCTTTAATTGGAAAATTCAGGGAACCCAAAACATCTATTCCTATACATTTTCATTACTCAAAAAAGTTCTGGCCAGCACAGTGGCTCATGCCTGTAATCCCAGGCTTTAGGAGGCCAAAGTGGGAGGACAGCTTTAGGGCCAGGAGTTTGAGACCAGCCTGGGTGGCAGCGTGACACCAGCCTCTACAAAAAATATATGTATGTATTTTTTAATTTCTGCAAAACCCCAGTGTTAATAATTTTATGTAAAAACAACATTGATTTTATTCCTAAGAAAAACCTGGGCATGTGATATCCTGCCAAGGGTAAATAATAGGCAAAATCTTGATGCTGAGCACATTGTTGGTCACTAACAGTTCATTGCGTTTTCTTTTTTTTGAGATGGAGTCTCCCTCTGTCACCCAGGCTGGAGTGCAGTGGCATGATCTCAGCTCTGCAACCTCCGCCTCCCAACTTCAAGCGATTCTCCTGCCTCAGCCTCCCAAGTAGCTGGGACTAGAGGTGCTCCCCACCACACCTGGCTAATTTTTGTATTTTTAGTAGAGACAGGGTTTCACCATGTTGTCCAAGATGATCTCCATCATCTCCTGACCTTGTGATCCGTCCGCCTCGGCCTCCCCAAGTGCTGAGATTGTAGGCCTGAGCCAACGCAACCGGCCCTGTGTTGTCCTTTTTAAAGACCCCAGGCTTCCGTGAGAGTTGGAGAACTCAAAAACCCCTGGGTGATCAGGAAACCAAGCCAAAGCTTGGCCCTCCCATAGTGTACTAATTTAAATCTGGGAGGGAAGTTACCCACCACTCCTCATTTGGGCATGAAAGTTCAAGCCCCGGGCCACGTGGCTGGCTCATCCCCCCAAATGCACTGTGCTCCCTTTCCTACTCAGGTCCTCCAGCCCTGGTTTACCACCAAGATTCTCAAAACCTGAAATTTTTAATTTAGAACTTAGGTATTTCCCTTATCAGAGCTATTTTTATAGAAAGCAAGAGCAATGTTTATACCAAATAAATTCATGTATAATTCTGGAATTAACCAAAATGGCTGCAGAAAACAACTAAATTAACCAAAGTTCGGGATAACTCATCACGTAATAGGATTCTCTACCCTGGGCCTCTGGATACTCATCTGTCCAGAACAGCCGTCAAACAGCAAAGACGACGAACAAGGGCCTGGCTGAAGTTCTTGGCTGCAGAGCGTTCGCGCGGGGCTGCAGGGCCCGGCCGAGCTGAGGGTCCCTAGCCCTGGGTCCTCCAGTCCATGCCGCTGCCCGGTCCCGCAGGGCCCAGCCAGTGCCGGCCATGCTGACTCCGCCCTGCCCGCCTGACCAGCCTGAACGCCACGATGCAGGGAAGCGCCTGGAGCCTGCCAGGGCTCAACACCTGCCCGGCTGTGAGCCGCGGAAGCCCGCAGGTGGCCAGAGTGGAGGTAGGCCCGGGTGCGGGCGAGCATGGTGCGGGGTCACGCAGAGCCCACTCGCATCCCGAACCCAGAACAGAGCCGCCGTGGGGGGCGCACCCGATTGGCTGGCTGAGGCCACGTGTCCGCCTGCGGCCCAATCAGGATGGCGGGGCATCCAGGCGGTCTGGTCCAGACAGCAAATTCCGGTGCTCTCCTGGAAGCAGGCGGGGAAGTGCGACCCGAGGGACTGGCCGCCTTGACGGCCCAGGGTGCTACAGCGGGGCAACGTCAGCACGGGCATCCACGGCTTCCCCACGGGCCGCACTGCCTGTCCATGTCTGTGGAGGCCTGCCTCAGTAAATTAGGGGTCATTCGGGTAGCTGTGTGCCATCCTCCCCTCCCACCATCCCCATTAGCCTCGGGATTTTTTTTTAATTGTTTTATTGAGATAATGTACATACCGTTACGCTCATCAGGTTAAAGTGCACCATTGAACAGTCTTTGGTATATTTACAAAGTTGGACAGCCATCACCTAATCTAACTTTGGAATCTTTTCAGGATCCCAAAAAGCTGTTTTTTTTTACACATTTCCCTACAAAATAACTTGAAGCAAATTACATAAAAGATGTATACAATGAAGTTAAAATAGAAATGAGGATTCAAAGACCAACGGAAGCAGGTCACATTTGTCAGCCTGGGGTCAACGTCGATGGTGTGATGAAGCTGCCCATTTAACTCCGGTCTTCGCTAAGAGGTTCAAGTTACTAGAAAGGGAACAAGACACAGTTACTCAAAGAAACAAAGCACTAAAGCACTAAATACTTTTTTTTTTAAGGTGGAATCTCACTCTGTCACCCAGGCTGTAGTGCAGTGGCGTGATCTCTGCTCACTGCAACCTCTGCCTCCTGAGTTCAAGCAGTTCTACCTCAGCCTCCCAAGTAGCTGGGACTACAGGCACGTGCCACCATGCCCGGCTAATATATATATATATATATATATATATTGATTGATTGTATTTTTAGAAGAGACGGGGTTTCACCGTTTTAGCCAGGATGGTTTCGATCTCCTGACCTCATAATCCGTTCCTCTTGGCCTCCCAAAGTGCTGGGATTACAGGTGTGAGCCACTGTGCCCAGCCGACTTCTTTTTTTTTTTAAGTTTAAGAGAATGCCACGTTATGTTATCTTCAGCATCTTTCACAACATTTTTATAGCTAAAGAAATAGCTTTATTTCCTTAGACCTTTACATCTCAATTTTGAAAGTATTCTGGGAGAAGCCAAACCAATGTGGCATTTCAGTGTTTATTTACAGAGCATTACGGAAGGGATGGAGGAGAGAGGAGCATGGTGAACTGGCCATCTGAAATGGTTGCAGCAAGGAATAGCGGGCAACTTTTTCCATCTCCTGGGATGGGTGATCAGAGCCACAACTGTTAACACAGAGTTCCCCCTCCCCCATAGTGGAACCCCACATTCTCAAGAGAACCACCAGCCACGGAAACACAAGGATACAACAGGCCCAGCTGCCCCTGGCCACCGCCCCTACGGTCTAAGATCTGCAGAGATGGGAGGAGCTATTAGGGTCTCGGGTCTGGGGGAAAGTGCCTAAGGATTTCTGCCTTCCCTTTCCCATCCTCCCTCCTTGCCCACCCCTCTACTCCCCCACATAGCCCTCCCAACCCTGTTTCTGGAGGATCCAGACCATGAGCAGAGAAGGAAATATCTATGAGGCAGATCACGCCCCCAACACCCAGGTCCTGACTTCACTCAGGAAAAGGGCTGCAAATGTACTTGAGATTGAAGCTTGAAAGTGATGGGTAGAATTGATGTTACATGCTTAAGGAGTTACGGAATTCACCCAAAACGTCATTAAGGAGCTAGAAGGGGCTGGGCATGGAAGAGACACAAATCCATTTTCCTAAGAGTGAGCCTGACCCTGCTCCGAGGATATGGGGCATGGGCACCTCTACCTGCAGCTCACCTCCTCTGACAAGCTCCAGTGGAAGCTGTCCTTCCTCTTCACTGGGAGGCTTGTTCAGGAAATCCAGTTCATTCCATTATTGGGAACAACTCGTCCACTGCAGGAAAAGTTGAAACTGGAGGTTTTAGCATCCGATGGAGCCTTCTCTGCAGGCGCCACTGCTACCCCAAGGCCTGCTGCCTCTTTTTCCAGCCAAGCTCTCACCCCAGGAAACCCCAGCGAAGCCAGTGCAGTGACAGGCCCCCAGTCCCTGGAAGGCTAGGGTCATGCCTGGGCCAACACCTGGAGCAGAGCTTCAAGAACCTTCCCTACAGGACTTGCCCGCTTCCCACTATAGGGACTGACTCTTCAGCGTGTGCTCTTTGAGAAAAGACACATCCACTGTGAATGCAAAACTCTTTGTGTTCAGTTTTCTCATCACAGCATTTATATACAATTTTTAAATGCCTAGATTGTGGCTGGGAATTTAGGGAGTTGTGAGAGACCCCACCTTGGGTGAGGAACCAACCTCAACATACACTTAGGATTGTCCTGCTGACAGGGCATCTGATCCAGTCCCCACCTGAGGCTGGCATCCCATCCAGCACCTTTGTTTGGCCATCTCCAGAGATGGAGGGTTCAGCCCAAGGCCCTCAATCTCACAGACAGGAAGTTCTGTGAGACATTCAGAACGTGCCTGTCTGTGGTTTGCCACTGCCCCTGCTTCCACTCTCCAGTCACAGAGAATTAGAATTCCTTCGACTACTTGAAAATAGCCTCAGGTCAGGCTCAGTGGCTCAGGCCTGTAATCCCAACACTTTGGGAGGTGAGGCGCGAGGATCACGAGGTCAGGAGTTCGAGACCAGCCTAGCCAACGTGGTAGAACGCTGTCTCTACTAAAAGTACCAAAATTAGCCAGGCTTGGTGGTGCACGCGCCTATAGTCCCAGCTACTTGGGAGGCTGAGGCAGGAAAATCGCTGGAACCAGAGAGGCAGAAGTTGAAGTGAGCTGAGATTGTACCACTGCACTCCAGCCTGGGCAACAACAGAGCGAGAATCTGTCAAAAGAAAGAGAGAAAGAGAGAGAGAGAGAAAGAAAGGCAAGAAAAAAAAGGAAAGAAAAGAAACGAGGGAGGGAGGGAATAGCCCACATTCCCACCCAAATCTTTTATAGCTAAAATCCTGTTTCCATTTTTCCTGGAGATGGTGAGTTGTTTCCAGAAATGGAGTGAACTGGATTTCCTGACTGGCCCCCAGTGAAAACCAAAAATCCTGGGTCATATGTTTTTTGAAATATCTTTCGATGCACAGCAATACAGCGAGTAAGCCACAGAAGGGCCCTGGGTAGCAAGACCATCCCCAGTCTGGTCCAGCTCACACCACAGCACGGGTGCCCTCCCAACCGAGCCCAGATTGAGGGGCAATGTCAAGGGCTTCACAACTTTCATTGCCCATGATTCTCCTCCAGGAATCTGCTGCCGTCACGCTGCAGCCTCTCCTTCCAAGTGCCACACTTTGCCCCCATGTTCCTCTCCCTGGGGCCTGTTCTTTCCCCCTTCTTTCTCCGCTCAGACTCAATGTAGGTGCTCCCTCCACTCAGAGCTGGGAGCCATACCTTGCTCCAGCCCCAGCACCTCTTCCTGTCTGTACCACACACACCTGCCCCATCCACACTGCCCACTGGGGCTTGAAACCATGCCCGGCCCAGCTCCCTAGTTGAGCTGTGTGTCCCAGGAGGACAGGCCCATCGGCATTGGGTGCCATGCCTCCTGCAGCAAGCCCAGTCCTTTGCTGTTAATGTTTAACAAGAATATTGGTGGGGTCTGGTCACGGTGGCTCACGCCTGTAATCCCAGCACTTTGGGAGGCCGAGGCGGGCAGATCACTTGAGGCCAGGAGTTTGAGATCAGCATGGCCAACATGGTGAAACTCTTGTCTCTACTAAAAATACAAAAATTAGCCGGGCCTGGTGGCAGGTCCCTGTCATCCCAGCTACATGGAAGGCTAAGGCAGGAGAATTGCTTAAACCCAGAAGGTGGAGGTTGCAGTGAGCCAAGATTGCACCACTGCACTCCAGCCTGGGCAACAGAGCAACGCTCTGTCTCAAAAAGAAAAAGTTTAAAAAAAAAAAGAACAGGTGACTTCAGCCCTAGCAGATTCTTCCCCTGCAGGAATGTTGGACGCCTCTCAAAAAAAAAGAATATTAGTAGACTTAGTGCAGCCATCTTCTTTCTGCTGGAAGGCTGGTCTTTTTTTTTTTTTTTTTTGAGATGGAGACTCGCTCTGTTGCCAGGCTGGAGAGCAGTGGTGCGATCTCAGCTCATTACAACCTCCGACTCCCCGGTTCAAGTGATTCTCCTCAGCCTCCTGAGTAGCTGGGATTACAGGCACACAGCACCACTCCCAGTTAATTTTTGTATTTTTGGTAGAGGCGGGGTTTCACCATGTTGGCCAGGATGGTCTTGAACTTCTGACCTCGTGATCCACCCACCTCAGCCTCCCAAAGTGCTGAGATTACAGACATGAGCCACCGCACCCAGCCTCACAAGTGGTTTTGATGGTACTTTGCACACACCTACTCTGTGCTCCAAAAGGTGCTCAGACCCCAGTTACCTGACTTGGAAGAGCTGTCTCGTAGAGGCATCTGCACATGTTGGGCCCTGACACCAGGTCAGTGCCTCCCTTTTGGAGGTCAGAGCCAGGCAGACCTCCCTATGACCTCAGGGGACCTATGGGCTACCCATGCACGAGGGCCCCTTCCACTGCGGGAACTGAGACTCTGGGGGAATGACCAGACTTTTGGAGGTGCTTGAGGTCAGAGGTTACACAGAGTGTGGAAGTCAGAAGGCATCACCCAGGTCTGTGGAATTCCATGGCCTCCCTGCCACATGCCAGGCACCACACCAGGCCGAGGCCAGCCCTGGGCATGAAAGTGTGAGTGAGCCGGGCGCAGTGGCTTATACCTGTAATCCCAGCACTTTGGGAAGCTGAGGCAGACGGATCGCCTGAGGTTGGGAGTTTGAGACCAGACTGACCAACACGCAGAAACCTTGTCTCTACTAAAAATACAAAACTAGCTGCTGATGGTGGTGCATGCCTGTAATCCCATCTACCCAGGAGGCTGAGGCAGGAGAATTGCTTGAACCTGGGAGGCGGAGGTTGCAGTGAGCCAAGATCGCGACACTCCAGCCTGGGCAACAAGAGCGAAACTCCCATCTCAAAAAAAAAAAAAAAAAAAAAAAAAGTGAGAGGCAGCCTGGCCCCAGAAAGCCTCCAGTTGACAGGTGATGCTGACCCACTAACCTTAGCCTAACCCCTAGCCCTGTGGTTTCAGCACCAGCAGGCTGGGAAGGTGTGCACAGGGCATTTGAGAGATGCTGCCTGCCTGCAGCTTCGAAGGGAGGAGGAGCCGGCGGGGAGGGTAGGCCTCCCGAGGAAGGCAAAATAATTTCCTCCTGGCGAGCAGGAAAACAGGTGTAGGGGGAGGGAAGGTAGCTTGCATGGCAGGGCTGGGTCAAACCAGGCCCCATAAACCAGGTAAGGCGCTTGGGCTTATCCCAAGGGAGAGGCTGGGGATACTGTGGTCAGATTAGCTCAGAGGACGGTCAGGGGAGCAGGGCAGGACAGAGACGGGAGGTGGCAGTCGTGATGGCAGCTGGAACGGTCTGCTCTGTGGGGGCCGTCCCCCTGATCAGGCCTGCCTTCCCACCACCCTGGTTCTAGCTCTGCCAGCCCCAGCAACCGTGTCTCCTGGGGAAGGGCAGAAGTCTCTGCAGGGGCTACAGGGGCACCAGGGAGAAGGACAGGGTCCACTGGCCACAGCACAGCCCCCTCGCCTTCTGGCTGTGGTGAGAGGCCTGCAGCCTCTAGGAGCAGCTGCCAGGGCCCGGTTCCTGCTCCACAACTCACCTTGGCCAAGCACTTCATCGTCCTGATCCTGTTTGCTCATCTGTGCTCTGCCCGTAGTTGTGAGGATTTTTTTTTTTTTTTTTTTTTTGAGACAGAGTCTTGCTCTTATTGCCCAGGCTGGAGTGCAATGACACAATCTCAGCTCACTGCAACCTCCACCTCCCGGGTCCAAGTGATTTTCCTGCCTCAGACTCCTGCCAATTTTTGTATTTTTAGTAGAGACAGGGTTTCACCACATTGGCCAGGCTGGTCTCGAACTCCTGATCTGAGGTGATCTGCCCACCTCGGCCTCCCAAAGTGCTGGAATTATTGGCGTGAGCCACCTCGCCTGGCTGGTTGTGAAGATTAACTGAAATCATGAAAATGTAGCACAGTCAGTACTCAAAGATCAGTAGCTTTACTATAACTGAATCTGTCCAAAGCCCCAATTTCTTCTTCAGTGCCCACCCTGCCTAGGCCCCCATAATTCTATTTCTGCCAGCCTGGAGCACCAGCAGCTGTACCAGCCAAGTGAGGCTATCTGGGTGGGGGGATGATGACGCAGGGCTCCTCCATGCCAGCTCCGGCTTGGACTATAAAACGCGTTCTAATCACCGGTCTTACCTCCACGCTTAGCACTTAGCAGAAGTGCTTGGGCATGGCGATTACGCTGCTATGGATCACTACACTAAACCGTTCAGCCCACACCTCCTCGTTTTGTTATTTACAAGCTTCATAACAGAGAGCAGAACCATTTCAGACCCTGGACTTCGGCAGACCCCCGCTCACCTTCCTAGGGATGTATCCAAGGTCCTTCTCCCACGGCACCTGCTGTCTCTGCCACCGTGGACCTAATGGCCGGGTCCACCTGCTCCTTTCATTCTGCACACAACCACAAGAGCCATCCTGCAAGAACACAACATATCACACCCCCTCTGCCTGGGTGGCTCCTGTGGTCCTCAGGTTCAGCAAATGCAGCCTTCAAACGGCCTGCCTTCTAGCCTGGCATGGTCCCCAGGGTTATCCGTGCACTCTCCAACAGGAGTCTCCTTCTCTCCCTGAGGGTCACTCATCCTCCAGGACTCCCCACTGCTCCCCGTGTTCCAGAGGTGCCATGCGGCCCTGGCTCAGGGCAGCCTTCTTCATGCCCCACACAGCCAGCCTGTTTACACAGCGTCCACATGTGCCCACGGCATCTAACACGCACAGTGCCGCCTGCAGGACGACAGTCCCCTTCTCCTGTCTCAAGAGCTTCGGGCTCAGACACTCTCTTCTGGGGATGCCTCCCTCCCCACCTTCCCTACTCAGCCTGTGTCTTCTCAGAAGAGCACAGTGAGCTGTGTGGAGCCTGCAGCCACCAGCTGGATGTCTGCCCTGCCACAGGGGCTGGTGGGTCATGGAATCACCCCCGACTTTCTGAGGGCAGGTGAGGGGAAAGGAAGGTTGATGGGGGCTGATAGGAGCAGTTTGGAGGATGGGGAGCACCAGAGATGGAAGGCTGGCAGGCTGAGGGCTGGGGAGCATCTGCGTTTGCACGGTTTCCTGCAGGCCAGGCCACACCCACACACACACTCAATGCCTGCACCCATACCCTCTCAACCACATGTCCAGCCCCCACTCTGGCTCCCCTGAGCCATCTGCAGGCAGAGGAGACTCCAGGGCCGGCTTCCCCAGCAGGTCTGCCCACCAAGCCTGGCTCTCTGGGAACTGCCACTCATTCCAACCGCAGAGTCAGGTCCCATGACCCATGGTCCGGCTCAGGGGAGCTCCCACTGCAAACACAGGCTCTGGGAAGGTGAGTGGAGGCTTTGTCACAGCCTCTGAGCCATCAGGAGCCCATCCATGAAGCGGAGAGCTGGAGGCACAGAGGTCCAGTCCACGGGCCACCCGCACCCCAGGGGGCCAGTCCTGCGTTTACACAAGTGACTTGGACACTCTCCTCCCACACATCTCTGGAGGCTCATCCCGTCTGGCCTTCCATGGCCTCAGCAGGATCAAACCAGACGTCTGCGATGCTCGGCATGCCCTCCTTGCCCTCATCCTCCCAGCTAGCAGCCCAGGAAAGAAGCGCTCTTGGTGACATGCAGAAGGGAAAGAGACCCTCCCTCAGGGTCCCAGAGCCCACCCTGAACAGGGCCTTTCAGGGGAGGGGGTGAGAAGGTTCACCACCCTGAGGAGCCAGGTCAGAGCCCTAAAACCCAGTGTTCCCCGCTCCCTCACTCCCTGATTCAGAACTCAAGGCCGGAAGCCCAGAAGGGAACTGGACCCCAGCTCCTCTGGCAGCAGCCCCTGAGGGCCAGAGGACAGCTTCCCAGCCGACTTGAGGACCTGTGACCTCAGGGGATGCAGGGAAACACCGAGTGTCACTTCCAGCTGCACCTGCCCTCTGCCACTGCCCAGCAGTCCCAGGACCCAGGTCCCCTCCTTCCTGGCGGAGCAGCAGGTCCAGCACAGCTGGCCCCTTCCTTGGCGGCTGTGCACAGGGTGCTGGCTGAGCCCTCGCCCCATAGTTGGCAAGTCTAGAACCACCGGATCCCATTACCTCACCAGTGTGAGTTCTACCATTGCCAAAAACGGGGGGAGGCAAGCGGCCATGGGGCCAGGGAGCTGGGGAGACTTCGGCCTGTGCTAGCTAAGGGAAAGACAGGAATAGTCAGGATGGTCCAGGCAGGGCCAGGGCGGAGGCGCCCATCCTCATAGCTGCGACAAGGTCTGGTGCATGGTCCTTCCTGCAGGGTCGTCCTGATGTGGAGGCCCAAACCCACCGTCGCCCTGCCTGCTGGTCCCGGTCCCTCCTCCCCTCCTGCCTCTTACCCCCCCAACCCGCCTCTCCTCCCTTCCCCTCCTCCCTTCCCCTCACATCTGTAACCCACAGTCACTGTGGGCAGGGATGGAGCAGACACCATCCCTAGGGTAGCCACCAGGATCCAACCCAGGCCCCTAGATGTGATCACCACTCCCCAGGGAACCCAAGAGCACCTCCACTCCCAGTACCTCACAGCAGGGGCTCTGGGAATGGGCACCAGCCAGGACAGAGAGCCCTCTCCCCTACCCACCACCCAGAGTGAGTGCTGGGGAAGAGATGGCTAATGTGGGCTGGGTTTTGTTATTTACTAAGCCCACGTCACTGCCCCATTTAATCCACAGAGACTGCTCCCAAGTCATTCCCCAGAGCCTAAAGCTCACAGGCTGCCCACCCCAAGGGGAGGGAGGGGGGTTGCTGCACAAACATCCCTCCTCTCTATCAAGTACAAAGGAGGAAGAGCTTCCATTTCCCACAGTCTCTTCCCTGAAAGCAGTGGACGGACACTGGAGCTGGGGCCTTCTACACAAGAAGACACAGGCAGCATCTGGGACCATCAGTCCATGGCAGGGATGGTCCCAGCCCCTCCTCAACCCCTTCCTCTCCTGCCCTCCCCTCATATCTGTAACTTGCAGTCCCTGTGGGCAGGGATGGAGCAGACACCATTCCTAGGGCTGAGCTCAAACCAGCCAAATACCTCCCATCCAGACAGCATTCTCCTGATGGCAGAACCCGCCACACACCCAGCAGCCCCCGCCACACACCCAGCAGCCCCCGCCACACACCCAGCAGGCCCCTGAACACCCAGACCCTTTGATGGCTGCCTGCAATCTGATTCCTGGAGTGGTACTTCCCCAGACCTCCAGTCACTTACCCGAGGACAGCACACTTCCACATTCCCACATCCCCTGATGAGGCCAGGTCCTTTCCCAGGGGGTGCTGAAGCCCCCTGAAGGCATCTCAAGTCTTTAGCAAGTGTGCAGGCTGCTTGCCCCCCATCCCGCACCCGCATGCCTCCCCTGCAGCCTGGAAGGGACTCTTTGCTCCCAAGCCTCCCGGGCAGTACGATCCCACCAGAAGCAGGCTTATTTTCCAAACAAGCTCTAGCTGGGGTGTAGCTGACTAAGGGCAGGGCCCCTGAGATAACAATGCCACCACCCCTTCCACCCTCCCTGCCCTTTGGGGTGGAGTGAGATGGGATGATGGCTTGAGATGCAAACAGATACAGGCCATCCTCGGGGCCAAGTCCAGGACCTCGGTGGCACCCACACTGGACTGGCAGCCTGGACTTGGGTGTTGCAGAGGATACCTCTGCCCTGAGAGGCCTGGTAGGGAGGTTTGGCCTCTGAGCAGAGGCTGGACACTGGAAGCCTCTCTGAGGGTGGACGGGCCTGCTATGGGATGCCAGCAGCACTGGGCTCTCTAGGTCCCATGGAGCCCCCAAGCCTGGGACTTGGTGAGGAATCCACTCCCGCCCTCCTCCAGTGTGTCTGTGGAGGGTCCTGTCCTCCTCCCCACCCAGCTGTGGCTGCTGCAGTCAGGCTCCATCGGTAGCCTGGGGCTGCGGGCGATCAATGGAGCCAGATCGCATTTCCACCCGCCTGAGGCCGGTCTCAGGCAGAAAGTGGGATAATGGCCTGGATTGAATAAGCAAATGGAGTGGTGGGGAAGGGCAGGGAGTCTAGAAAACCCACTCACACAGCCCTCCAGGGAGCTGCCCCTCCTGTGGCCCCACACACCCAGACAGACACAGCAAGGTGCCCGACACTGTGGGGGGGCCCTAAACCTGGGCGCCTGGGAGCCGCTGCTCTTGACAAATACAGAAAAATAAAGCAAAAAGTGCCTCTGAGTGACCCTCCCACTCCGGCAATAAAGGCTTTCGGGAGAGCGTCCCTGCCCGATGGTGTACCTTGGACAGATCGTGGCCACAACGTTTTGCCCAACTCACAGACTTTCTGGAAGCCACACAAGGGAGGATCCAGGCCCTGTCCTGCACGGTGAGGAGGTGAAGAGGGGCCCTCTCCCATCCTAAGTGCCCCCAGCATGGGTGGCGGGAAATTGTCTTTGGGGAGGAGGGCCAGTGTGGCCCCCACTCTCTGGGATAGTCACTGTTGCAGGTGAGCTCACCACCCAGGCCTGGCCCAGATCTAGGTAAATTAGGAGGGCTAGAAACCAGCTCTGGCCTGAGGTCCTCCCATGGAGTGCTGGAGCTGGACCCTGGAGCATCCAGGCCTAAAGCTTGGCAGAGGCACACCCCCACACCAGTGCCTGCACATGGGGCTCAGCAAAGGTGCCCACCTGGGCAGGTGTGAGGAGCTGGAGCCCAACTGCAAACCACCCAGCGGCTGAGGGCAGCTTCTGTCATCCGGCCTTCCCTGCTAGGCAGGAAGGAACAGATCCCTGGCCAGACACTTTCAACACTTCAGAGGCTCCAGGGAAAAGCTCTAGAACCAGTCACTGCCAGGGGTCTTCCAACCCCCCTGGCTGGGCGCCTCTGTGACCACCCCACCTTCAGGGCTCATTCTCACTCAAGCCGGGAACTCCCTTCTTTCCTGCCCCTGGGACCTGCAGCAGGGAGCTCTAAGGAAGCACCCAGGGGCAGAGGACTGGAGCAGAGACAGGGGGGCACAGGCCAGCCAGGTTCTGGTGGGCAGGGGGGAGCTGGTGCCATCAGAAAGGAGACCCAGCTACAGGGACACCTCACCAGGGCAGAAGTCCCCTCCTATTCTGAAATAAACAAGCTCCTCCTTTTCTCTGCAGGGTCTTGGAGAGCTTCTGCAAAACTAAACGCTGCTACCACACCCCAGAGGGGATTTATCAGGGGCTCCTCCTGATAGCAAACTGGCAAGAAAAACGAATGGCCCAACCCACCCAAGGCAGTCCCCAGGGCACCCCGGCAAGCAGCACTGGTGGCTGTGTTCCCACTGCACAGTCAGTTGGACCCGTCATCCTCCAACTGACAGCTTCAACCACATGCAGCCCCCACCCCAGCACTCCCTAGCTCAGATACCTAAAATGACTCACTGATCTGGGCTAAGTCCACCAGCCCTTGCCTGAGGCTCCCCGGGGAGACACGGTCCCATCAGGGGCTGGACCAGTGACCTAGGGCATGACAGCTCCCAGCTGGTCGGTGTCCCAAGTAGGCCACTGGCTTCCTGCTTGATGGCTGGCCACCAGGTGTCACATGGGGCCGCCTGGCTGGGCAGGCTTTCCCCAGCTTTAACAGACTAGGTCCAGGCCTCCCAGCCTCAGTCTCTGCCATCTGGGGCGTCCGTGGGAGCCCAGGCCTGTAGGTTCAGAGCTGAGACCAAGCCCTGGGTGCCTCCACAGAAGGTGTGGTTAGTGACAAAGAGTCACAGTGACCCAGCTCTACCACTCACCAACCTCTTCAGCCAAGCCTCTCCTCTCAGAGCCTTAGGGGCCCCATCTTTGAGATAACTGTTTAAAAACTACAACCCTATAGGGCAGAGGTGGGAACTGATGGGATTCTGTATGTAAGTCACCTGACACAGATGGACAGCACAGATCCAGGGACCCAGGAAGCCACATTACCAGTGTGTGTGTGGCGTGTAAAGGGGAACATTGGCCTCTGCCCCAGAACCTTCCAGGGCCAGGTCTGAACCATGCCCTCCAACTCTAAGCCCCACTAAGTATCCACCTCCTCGCAGAGCTGTCCAGAGATGACCCACTCCACAGCAGGCTCCAGCTCCAGGGATGGTAGTCTGCCAGAAACACCCAGGCTGACCTCAAGGGCACCCCACCTGCCTGGGGCTGCCCCCTTCAGAACCTGCAGCAGAAGGCCAGCCCCTGTGTTGCCAGCCAAGGTCTCATCCCAAGCATGTGCTGGGAGCCCGACTGGGCCTTTCCAACCGACGGCACCATTCAGGATGGCCCTACAGATGGCTTCAGACTCCCCCACCTCTGCCCTGGGCGGCCCCATCTGCTGGTCCAGCTCAGATTGCTGGGCTCCCAGCTCTACCATGGCCTCAGGCAGTGTAAGGCGATCTGGCTGCCCACCAGCACTGGGCCCTCACACAGCAGCTGAGCCAGATGGGCTGGGGAGGCGGCGAGGAGGCCTTGAGGAGGAGCAG